CGTCTGAATAATGATTACATAGTTAATAATAATTTAACTATCTTCATTGGGTCCAACAATGAGGGCCTCAGCGTGATCACGCCTCGAACGTAAGCAGGTTCATCACCCTCTTCAATGATAGGTAGGGTACGTTCACCCCGAATGCAGGCATTTTCTGATAACCCCTGTAGTCTTCTTCGTCCATCACTCTATCGACACCGACAATCTTTCTTTTTCCTTTCAGGACTACTTTTAGCTTTTCTTTTGTCTTGTTCTCTCCTACATAGAAGATTTGCATAATGTATTTTGCAAGGACCAAGGGGTCGTCTCAGTATGCGGTTTTGGTGAGATCAACGGTAGTGAACCCTTCTCTGTCAGTGGTGATTTCTTCAAATCGGACCCACTAGCAGCGAAAAAGAGCTGCCTTCAACCGACCATAGTCTAGCTCCCATATCTCCTCTATGAAACCATAGTATGTCACCTGCGTGTTGCCGCTTTCATCGTGAGCATCGAAACGAACACCATTGTTTTGGTATGTGCTCTTTCCATCTTATTTTTTGTGTAAAATATAAATCCATTGATCTCATACCCTTGGTACTTAAGCCATGTACTCGAATGTCCCTTGGCTAAGATATCCAGCTGATTACCCAACGTTGTTCCAATCAAGCAGCATCGCAACACGCTGATAAATTCCTTCTTATGTTTTATATCAAGCCAAGCCTGCGACCTGCTCGGATACAAAATTTGCAACGATTGCCTATGCTCGTCAATGTATGGCATCATATCCTTTGCTTGCTAGAGAACAACGAACTATGCCTGTCTGAAAGAAACGGGGTCATCTATTGTGATAGATTTCTCCCCAATCGTTCCTTTGCCACCTAATCTTCCCTCGTGACAAGATTCTAGAAATTCGACCCTATTGATGTCCAAATAATATGTGCAAAACTCAATGGCCTCCTTCGTTGATCATCCTTCAACCATACCCCATTTTGATCTGAATCTGTTCCTAACATACATCATGAAAACTTTCATCAACCTTTTGAAAGGGAACATCTGATGTAGGTACATTGGGCTAATGGCTCTAATTTGGCCAACAAGATGAATGAGCAGATGCACTGAGATATCAAAGTAAGTCGGCGAGAAATACATCTCGAGCCTAACGAGAGTTTCAGCTATGTCCCGCTGTAGCTAGTCTAGCATGGACACATCAATGACCTTTTTTGAGATCGTGTTGAAGAACGAGCACATCTTTATGATTGGGGCGCTGACCATTGGGAGGGGATGATACCACGTAGGACAACAGGGAGCAGCTGAGTCATAATGACATGACAGTCATGGGCCTTTATACAACCATAGTTGAACTTGAGTTCTCTCATGTTCACTAACCTCTTCGGTTTGCACAGTAGCCCATTGGGACTTTGAGTTCATTGAAGAAAGAAATAAGCGTACAATTTTCTTCCTTCTTCAAGATGCACGACGCAATCGAAAGTTCAAATTTGCCATCCTCTAGCGCCATGGGATGCAGCTCCTTCCTGATTCCCAAGTGTTGAATGTCTAGGCGTGTGGCTAGTGAATCCTTTGATGTCCCCCCGGTGTCCATCAAGGTGTTAAGCGTGTTACCACACACGTTTTTAGTAATGTGCATGGGATCAAGACAGTGGCGTACACTCAGCACTGGCTAGTAGGTAGTTTCTAGAAAACTAATTTTTTTTCTTCTAGACGCTCCCATCAGGCACTGCTATTGCATTGTCCCCTTCCCAAGGACAACCTCCAGTTTGTTGACTTCTCGAAGTATCGTAGGCCTATCTCTATATTTTGGAGGTAAGCATTTCTCAATAGTACCATCAAAATCTTTTCTGTTCCTGCGGTAAGGGTGATCCTTAGGTAGGAACCTACGGTGTCCCATATAAACTATCTTTGAGTTCTTTGGTAGATGTACCGCATCGGTGTCGTCCAAGCACTCGACACATCCAATATAGCCTTTTGTCTTATCTTTGGATAAGCAACCTCGACCTGGCAGGTCGGTGATTGTAACGATAAGTACTGCCTTGATCATGACATGTTCCTTTTGTACTATCCCTCAAACATCCTCCACACCATTTTCAAACATCTCCACTAGTTCATCGATCACTGGTTTCAGAAACACATCGATGTTATTCCCAAGTTGTCTTGGCCCTTGGATCAGTAGTAGCATCTGGAGGTATGACCGCTTCATATAGAGCCAAGGTGGAAGATTGTATATACATAGCGTCACTGACAACGTGCTATTATTGCTTCTAACCTAGTCGAAAGGATTCATCCCATCTGTGCTCAAACCAAACCAAAGATGTCTTACCTCTCCATCGATGTTCTTATAGAACATAGTATTGACTGTCCTCCGGTCCTTCCCATCAGTGAGGTGCCTCATCATTGTATATTTCTTACGCTCTTCGTCATGCCAGCGCAACAGCTTAGCTGACTTTGCACATGCAAACATCCTATGCACCCGGGGGCTATAGGGAAATACCAAATGACCTTCACGGGATCTCCTCTGGTCTTGGTACCCTCATTTGACGGCCTTTTTTATACCGTGGAGCTTCACACTTGGGGCACGCATCCAAGTCTTTGTATTCATCTCTACGGTACAATATGCAATCATTGGAACACGCGTGGATTTTTTCAACCTCGAGGCCGATGGGGCAAATCATTTGCTTGACCAGGTATGTCTTTTTTGGTAACTCGTTTTTTTTCTAGGAAGCATTTTCTTTATTATACCTAACAATTGATCGAAGCTTTTATCGCTCAATCCGTTTATCGATTTGAACTCTAATAGCATGATGTCGATTTCAATTTGCTCGTTGGACAATTCTTATACAATGGTGTTTTGCCATCTTGTCTTATTTTCTCTAGCTTTTTCAGCTGTCTTTCACTAAGACATCTAGTCTCTACATTACGTAGCAGCTGAGAAATGCCATCGTTATCCTTGGTGTCATCGGCTAGCATGTTCCTAAACATATCATTAACTATGACCATAGGTTTCGTGTTGACATCGGGTTTCTCATCAGCATCGTGGATGGCTACGTCAGGCATGGCCACATCATCATCGTTTTGCTATGGAACATTCACACCAACCTCGTCATGCATAGTCCATATCGAATAGTTTGATATGAACTCTCTGGTAATCAAGTGTATTCGTACAGACTCAATTTGAGCATATTTCCTTTGATTCATGCAATCTTTGCATGGGTAGAAGACAGAGTTTCCATTCCTAGCTTGGGCTTTGGTATTGATGATAAACTGGCTGACGCCATGCATGTACCGACTTGTCCGTTCGGGACAGATGCATCCACTTTCGATCCATGTCTACACAAAAAATATTTAGATAGTAATTATAGAGAAATTAATAAGAAGCTTAGCTTCATGAACAACAATTGTAGCTTGAAAGTACTATTTATTCTACACTTATTTAATTTAGTCACCTTATTTTTGAAAATATTATTGTACACTAATTATTGGGAAATTGAAATTGGTAGCCCCGATCATATAAATTAAAAATCGTAGCCCCATAAAAAACAATTATTGCAAAATAATGAAGAACAATTATTCTACTCGATGCCACATAAAAATAGAGACACTAATTTTTAAAAAAAGACTAAAATTAAAGACATAACCATGAACAACAATGTAGCTCCAAACAATGTGTTGGTAGGTGACACATGGATTAATTTGCTCACCAAAATTATAAAAGAATCTACTCTACTTTTTATCAAGAATTAATTATATCATCACATACTAATAATGATCTTGACCATTATGTAATTAGCTAGGATTTTAAATATGTTTAAAGACACCAACCTTTTGTATGATGGATTCACCACAATTTACTTGGAAGCCTTGCACAAAGTCTAATTAAAAATATGCTCTCTAGAATAAAGAAAGAACTAGAATGAGAATCAAACAATGTAGCCATCAAAACAACGCTAATTAAGCTATAAAATCAAAGGGGTGGATACTCGTTACTAACCTTAAAGCAAAAAGATCAAGCCATTCTTCTAAATCCAAGAGTTAGCTTTATGGTAAAGAGTAGCCGCAACAATAAAGAGAGCGGCCCAAACGCCGCCTCTATGTGCTCGGGATGGAAGAGAGAAGGAAGGAGATGACAGCGCCAACTTTTTGTACTACTATTTTATCACCGTCGATTCTTGACTCGAACCGACAGTGATAGCATCAAATCACTGTCGGCTCTTGGTTAGAACCGACTCTAATAAGTGGCCGCCAACTCATTGTCGGTGCAAGCCATAAACCGGTAGTGATGTGGTCCTTCACTGTCAGTTTTAGCCCAGCCCCAATCATTTTTTTATTTCCAAGCTCAGAACCGACAGTGAAGGTACATCACTGCCGGTTCTCACAAATCCAGCAGTGATGAGGCCGACAGTGATGTCCAAATTTATAGTAGTGCAAGGAACAAGTGAAATAAGTTTAAAAAAAGGAACAAGTGAAATACAGAAAAAAATGTGCATCGTATTTTACCACTGAATCTATTAAAAGTTTGATTTTAAATTTACTCGCTAAAATCATGCAACTTGTAGCTTTGTTATAAACCTGGGTCTAAATTTATTTTGAGATGTGATGAGCACTTTTGGTAATGGTAAGTTTCAGAATAAGTGAATTTTAATGGTAGAACTTCAAAGTAGAAGAATTGTAATGGCAGGGATCAAAAACCTAAAGAAGGGAAAATTGGATGGTATTGAAGATGTATTGTGAAAGCAAAGTAAAACTTCAGTTACTACAATTTAAGACGCTAGAAGGTTTAGAAGGAATCTTTTAATATTTACCAAAATGAAAACGGGGTCGTATTTGCAAGATTCGCAGCATAGCGCTAGCGCCATAGCCCACTCTTCTCAACGGGCACCAGGCACAACCAAAAAGACAGGGGCCCGGCCGCAAAATCCTCTCTCCTCCCCTCCAGCCCCGTCGACCGTCGCCGCGAATACACTTGGCTTTGCGCCTCCACCTTTCTCCAGGCAACCACGGTCCCACCCATGGCGGAGCCACCGCCGCCGCCGCCTCCATCGCAGCCGCAATTGAAGCTATTCAACTCGATGACTAAGGCGAAGGAGCCCTTCCAGCCGCGGGTGGAGGGCAAGGTCGGCATGTACGTCTGCGGCGTTACGCCCTACGACTTCAGTCACGTCGGCCACGCCCGCGCCTACGTCGCCTTCGACATGCTGTACAGGTACCAGACCCCTTGGATCTGGCGCCCCTCTGTCTTCCTAGATGCGCAATTGGTGGGATCGGTTTGTGTAACAGGACGCCTTTACTTGGTGTGATTCAGCTAAAGCATGCCGAAACCGGTGCTTTAAGTTGTGAGTACCTCTGGTTTAGTGATTGAGTCGACTTCTACTGCTCTCGCTGCTTGTACGTGGAATTGTTCTGTATGCTCTGGCGAAATTATCCAGTGAATTTTCGTTTTTGTCATCAGCATAAATTACTCCAATGTATTCAATACGCGATCTGCCTAACTCGGAACATGTTGAGATCAGCTAATGGCATGGTAGTGATACAGCAGTTCTATTATTGTTCAAATCAAACTGTTTCAATGCACCAGATAATTTTTCATGTATTAAGTTTGAATTGAAATTGTGTTATGAAGCTTTTAGTGCTTCTAATTTTTCTTCTTATGCTTTGATAAAATAATTGGTTGTATATTCTATGCAGGTATCTTAAATTCTTGGGGTATGAAGTTGAATATGTGCGTAATTTTACAGACATCGATGATAAGGTAATAAATGCCCAGATCATTTTAGTAGTACTCTTTAATAATTGATAAACAAAAGGAGAAATTTTCGTTTTATACTTATTTGTTTTGTGTTCAACAGCTTCCCTTTTAACAAAGGAGGGCATTACCTATTTTTTGCAATGAAAAGATAAAAAATAAATCGACTATTATCACCCGTGTCAAAGTTGCCCTCTGCATGTGTGTATCTTTCAAAGAGGAACCTTAGGTTTATTATGGTGTGGTTTTTATCTTTCTCCAAGCTAAGAAGTAGTGTGTAGGAATTGCATTGCGCTATAAATTTACCCTTTCTATTCAGATGCTCTCTAGTGTGTGTATATTTGCTGTATATTGTCATATATTTTAATGCTATATAGTGACTCCAGATCTTGTTTTCATTGTGCAGATTATTAGGCGTGCCAATGAAGCTGGTGAAACGCATACAAGTTTGAGTAGCCGGTTTATCAATGAATTCCTTCTTGATATGGCTGCGCTCCAGTGCTTGCCTCCTACACGTGAGCCACGTGTAACAGAACACATTGAGCATATTAAAGAGTTGATAACCAAGGTATGTTCAAGTATTGCGGTGAACAGTACCAATCGGTAGCCTAACTGTTCGTGCTACTGTGCATCTGTTGTGAACAGAAGAAACACTGATGATTACACTAACTCATCGCCTTAAAATTTAGTGCAGAACTAAAACCATATCCTCTGCTTCCAGCATAGTGAAAAGTTATGCTTAACTTGCTCTATATTACACTGGTCCTACAAAATTGCACTGTGAATTGTGATCCCTTTTATCTCTTGTATCGTAAGAAATTATTTACTCAGCAATTACAATTATTTCTGCTCTGTATCTGTTTCTGAACAGATAATGCAGAATGGGCATGGCTATGCTATAGAAGGGGATGTTTACTTTTCTGTTGATAGTTTCCCTGAATATCTCCTTCTATCTGGAAGAAAGTTGGATCAAAATCGTGCTGGTGAACGTGTCGCTGTCGATACAAGAAAGCGTAATCCTGCAGATTTTGCCCTGTGGAAGGTAATTTTGATGCAATGGTATTTCTATCTTAGGAATGATTTCATAGAAACCACTATTTGAAGTGCACCTTCCATCTATACTACCAGTATGTGACAATGACATGTAGGACCTTAGGCCACATGTTATTGTTACATGGCCTGGTGGTATAGTGAAGGGTGCACTGAAACGGTGGCATGGATGAAATTTACACTTTAGCTTTTGTGTCTGTCCACTTTCTTCTCATTCTTAGTGGATCACTGTGTGCAGTCTGCCAAGGAGGGTGAGCCCTCCTGGGAAAGTCATTGGGGGCATGGAAGACCAGGATGGCATATTGAATGCAGTGCAATGAGTGCTCACTATTTAGGACATGTGTTTGATATTCATGGTGGAGGGAGAGATTTGATTTTTCCTCACCATGAAAATGAACTTGCACAAAGCCGAGCGGCTTATCCAGAGAGTGAGGTGATATGCTGGATGCATAATGGCTTTGTGAACAAGGATGACCAGAAAATGTCAAAATCAGAGAATAACTTCTTCACTATCAGAGATGTATGGCGTGAACACATGGCTATTTTTAGCATTTTCTCTGGCTGAGTTTTACTGATTGGTTACTCTTCAGACCTCTAACAGTTATTTTCTTTCAGATTATTTCTCTATACCACCCGATGGCCTTACGCTATTTCCTGATACGGACACATTATAGATCTGATGTGAATCATTCTGATAAAGCAATTGAGAATGCATCAGATCGTGTGTACTACATTTATAAGGTGCTTAAGTAAAGTTCAAATATTGGTTTGTCAGTATCCAACCAATTTGTTGGATATGGGAATTAATCATCTTTTTTGTCTAAATTTGCTCAATGTGAATTCCATGTAGACGTTGTATGACTGTGATGAAATGTTATCTAAATATCGTGAAGAGGCCATCTCTGTTCCAGTCCCAGCCGAGGAGCAAAATTTGGTCAACAGACACCATAAAGCTTTCTTGGACAATATGTCGGATGATCTTAAAACCACAGATGTTCTGGATGGTGAGGATGGCCTCACGGATCTGCTGAAGGCCATTAACAGCAATATGAATGATTTGAAGGTATGTTGGTACTGTTTCTTGCTACCATGTTCCAAGGTTTGAATTTTTAGGAATTGTATGTGGCATTACCCTTTTTCTTTGGATTTCGTGGTTGATATGACACCTTTTATACTTTCAGAAGCTGCAACAAAAACTAGAGCAACAGCAGAAGAAGCAGCAGCAGAAAAAGCAACAACAGAAGCAACAGCAAACACAGAAACAACCTGAAGATTACATTCAAGGTCTTATTGCTCTGGAGACAGAAATTAAAGATAAACTATCAGTACTTGGTCTGATGCCACCTTCATCTTTGTCAGAGGTACTAAAGCCACTGTCTGTCTATAACTAAATATAATCCAACTATGCTGTCCAATTATGATTACTACATGTTTCATGATCAAACTTTGATCCAACAGGTACTGAATCAATTGAAGGGCAAAGCATTAAAGCGAGCAAATTTGACTGAAGAGCAATTGCAAGAGCAGATTGAGCAGAGAACTGTTGCGAGGAAGAACAAGCAGTTTGAGGTGTCTGACAGAATCAGGAAACATCTTGCTACTCTAGGCATTTCCCTTATGGATGAACCCACTTGTACATCATGGAGACCATGCGAACCAGAGCGGCCTGAAGAGTCAGGATCTGTAACTAGTGATTGTGTACCTGGAAAAATTAACAAAAGCTCAGACCCGGCCTGAAGAGTCAGGATCTATAACTACTGACGCGGTAACTGAAACATTAGCCGATGCTCAGGTGCCACCTTAGGCTGATCAGCTTAGCGTGTCACATTTTGATGTGATATTCTGTAGAGGTTCACTGGCCTGTTAAAACCTGTGTTTAGGGTTGTGTAAAAAGGGCTCCCCGTATACAGGACACATTTGGACAAGTTGTGTTCTCCATTTATAGATATACAAATCCGGTAAAAACCATTTGTGCCAACAGAGGGATTAGTTGTACTTGGCTCTTGTGATCTTCTCTGGTTGTCCTGATACTGTTGATAAGTGTCTAATGGAATGGATATGTTTGTTGATGCTCCAGTATGGAATGGTGATTCTGTGCTGATCAAGCAGCTGGCCATCCGGCCGCAACAGATGCGACAGCACAGCTTGTGCGCTCAATTTTTTTCTTTCTCGAATACGCAATTGTGCGCTCAAATTTGTCGGCGAGGATTTGGTGTTTGAAGGTCCAAACATGGAACCAGCTTAAAAATGACAATTGCGTGTTTACAGATAGGCCTGCTTCTATCCTTATCCAACTCAAATCTGTCGGCAATGAGTTTCTCTTGTAATAATGCATGGGGCTCAATTTCTTTTTGTCAGTGTTTTTTTTTGGGGAGTCATTGTTGGGAGCTGCGACCATTATCCATTCTAGATTGTGCGTGAGATATTTATTGGCTGATCAAGTCAACTGGGACTGGGTCTTTTTTTTTTTAGGGAACTGGGACTGGGTCTTTTATCTACCATGTTCTGTCAGCTTAATCAAAACATTGCACAAAGCCGCCTCTGTACTGTTGGTTCTGTCAATTTAATCAAAACATTGCACAAAGCCGCCTCTGTACTATTGGTTCTGTCAGCTTAATCAAAACATTGCAACAAGTAATTGTGACGGACCAATTTTCTCACCCGGCTTCCGCAGGGCTGCTAGAAGAAGTGAAGTCACTAGTGGACTCAAACTTGTTGAGCTTTTATAAATCGCGTAATTGTAATCGAGCCGCTCATGAGCTGGTCGTTCTGGGTTTGTGTTGTGTTGAGGGAGAAGAGCACATTACGTGCGACGTGTCGGAGAACATTGCTGACGATTTGTCAGCAAATGTGAATTGAGCATACCCAGGTTAAAAAAAAACATTGCACAAAGCCGCCTCTGATCTGTTGGCTTAGCAAAGTTCGCTTTCCTCAATAATGTCTGGGGCAAAGTAGACTTTTATGTTAGCATATGAATCACGCCAAAATGCAGGTATAAACTGTAGCTCGAAGCTTCATAATCTACACTTCTACACTTCGATTTGTCTCTCTCTTTCTCTCCTAGTGTCCTGATAATCTCATTGTTTCCTCCATGGCTACCAACGCGAACGAAACACAATCGGCGACGAACCCGCTCTTCACCGTCACATTCGACGTGACGAACAACGACAACTACGGCGACTTCATCGCCGGCCTGCGGCACAGGCTAGGCAACCCGAGGCACTTCTCCCGCAACCGCCCCGTCCTCCCGCCGGTGGAGGCTGGCCAGCACCCGCCACGCCGCTGGTTCCACGTCGTGCTCATGACCCAGGCCGGCGCGCTCACGCTGGCCACGCGCGCCGACAACCTCTACCTGGAGGGCTTCCGGAGCCGCGACGGCACGTGGTGGGAGCTCACCCGCGGCCTCATCCCGGGCGCCACCTACCTGGGCTTCGGCGGCTCCTACCGCGACCTGCTCGGCGACTCGGACCGCCTCGCCAGCGTCGCCCTCGGCCCGCAGCAGATGACGGAGGCCGTCAACGCGCTCGCCGCGCGCGTCCCGGCCGACCTCGCCTCCGGCGCGGCGCAGCAGCGGGCGAGGGACGCGCTGCCGGTGCTGCTGCTCATGGTGCACGAGGCCACGCGGTTCGCGACCGTGTCGGGGCTCGTGGCCGGCCTGATGCACCCCAGGGCGGCGATGAAGAACGGCACCATCACCATGGAGATGAAGGCGCAGGTGAACGGGTGGCAGGACCTGTCCACCGCGCTGCTGCGGGCGGACGCGGTGACATCGGGGCAGTTCACGCCGTTCCAAGGCACGGGCGTTAGGACGGTGGAGGAGGCTGCCGCGACGGTGGGGATACTGCTGTTCGTTGAGGTGCGCGGCGGGATGACGGCGGAGACGGCATTGCGGTTGTTCCGTGGGAACTAAGAGCAACTCCAGATCTTCGTTTTTTTAAAAAAACTTCCTATTTTGACTTTATTTTTGATAAAAATCTACTCCTCTCAAGCTTGTAGTAAACTTATCCTAAAAATAAGTTGGTAAGGGTACGTTTGAGAAAATAGGAATTTTATCCAACCCGAGAGTGGACTTCATACCGAGGCGGGCTTCGTCAGAATGCCTTTGTTATTTCATGTTTTTTTCAACTTTATAAATTTTTGACCTCGTCTTTTTAATCAGACCATTTTTTCCCTGTCTCTACCTATGCTCTTCCTCTGCTTCTCACGGTCACGGCAATTTCTTCTTTCTCTCCCGTTCTCTCTCCGTCTCGACCGGTGTTCGGGCGGGAGCCCGACGCCGGCCGCCGTCGACGGGCGCGCGTCACCAGACGCGCCGCGGATGATCATGACCCCGCACCGCCCGCTGCGGCTTCGTTTCTAGCTCCAGTGGGATTAGTGGGTTGCTTGATTCCGAAGCTCCAAGCTCGCGGGATTCAATTGAGGCCCCCAGGATCGCAATTGGAGCAGCGGGTTTGGTTTATTCCTGCTTGGTGCCGCTGATTGGAGTAAGCTTCGCTTGTGGTGGTTGGTTGAGAGGCTGCTCGGCTTCCGGCGACCATGTCCGTGCCGGCGATAGCCGTGTACACCAGCCCGCCGGGCGCCGCCGTCCACGCGCCGCCGGAGCACGAGTACAGCTCGCGCGGCTCGGCGCCGTGCGCGGCCGCGGCGACCCCGTCGGCGGCGCCGAGCTCCCACCGCCACGCGGCGGCCGTCGCGGGCGGCCTGTCCTGCCTGTTCTCGTCCCCGTCCGCGGCCCCGCGGGCGACGGCGCACGAGGAGCTCGGCGCGCTCTTGCACGACAGATCCGACGATCCGCCCGCCGTCGTCGCCGGGGGCTTCGGCGGCGGGGACTACTCGTACCCCCAGTCGTCGTCGTCGCTGTCGCCGTTCAAGCTGCGGGACCACCTCCACCGCAGCTGCGGGTTCCACAGCACCTCCACCTCCTCGCAGCCCGGTGTCGTCGTTCCTCACCGCCGCGAGCCGACTGGCTCTTCTCCAGCCGGCGTCCAGGAGACTTCGCCCGTCGGTTTCCTGGGTGTGCGGCTCACCGGCGACGCCGCCGAGCTGGCCTTCGACTGGCTCTTCTCCAGCTTCGTGCGTGGTGCTCAAACGCGCTTCCAGGCTCCTGCATTGACTTCGCGTCAAGGCCTCTTCGAGGCCGAGCAGCTTGTGGCCAGGTAAAATGTTGATCCCCAAGAAGACGCGCGGCCTGTCGACGGCTAGCGCGGACGGGCGGCGGCGACCGGCGTCGGGCTCTCGCCCGAACACCGGTCACGACGGAGAGAGAACGGGAGAGAAAGGAGAAATTGCCGTCACCGTGAGAACTAGAGCACGAGGATAAGGACGGAGCCGAGGCTAAAACAGTCATGTAAAAAAGATAGGATCAGAAATTTATAAGGTTAGAAAAATACGAAATAGTAAATTAGTCAAATACGAAATAGTAAAAAGCTAGAAATTTAAAGGTCGTAGATTCACTCGGGCAAAATTCTCATTTTCTCGTGTACATTTGGTTCTAATGGTCTATTTTTCTATATGCTCTTTTTATTTGATTTGTGAAATAGAATTGATTCCACCTCAAAATTTATAGAATAATTTGCTTATGATGCATAAATATCTTATAAAGAATGGACTCATGATGCATTATATAAAGCATGAGGTGACTCCACGAGCCAAGCACACTTGCTTAATAATAACAATAACAAAGCTCGGCATAAAAGGCCATGCAGTAAATGGAGTACTACCGTGGACTAGTATATTTGTAAACCTTCCACGCTTTCTATACAAGACTGGAATGTCAAAAATTATGACAGAAAAAATTGAAGCAACACTAAGCTATGAAGTATGAAGTGACTTTAACAATAACAAAGCTCGGTATAAAAGGCCATGCAGTAAATGGAGTACTACCATGGACTAGCATATTTGTAAACCTTCCACGCTTTCTAAACAAGACTAGAATGTCAAAAATTAGTTCAGAAAACATTGGAGCAACACTAAGCTAAGCTGGTAGGATCGATGAAAAAAGAAGTGGTGTATATGTGCATACCGAGAGTGGAGCAAACACCTTGGTGATGAACACTTGTCCTACACGTACCTTCATCAGCAGCCATATTGTAAGAGCCTTACGCAGCAGCGCATGGGACTCGCTGTGGTTGAGGAACTCGTCCTCAAGGAACCTCCAGGCGCCACGAGCGTTGAACTGATGCAGCATCAAGGATTGGAGCAGGTCGTTGGAGACGGTGTCGTAGATCCACCACGTCAACACCGTGCAGTCCATATGGACCCAGACACGGCGGTCCGACAGAGCTTCATCGGATAGAACATGGGGAGTCAGGGCGTACTTTTGCCGAGCACCACGAGGAACAGGCCGCACCATTTGCTGAAGTTGTTGGCGGCCGGCTCCAGGGTGACCGGGATCAAGGCCTAAGTGTCAGATATAGAAATTTCTCCCTGCTTTCTTCCCCTATCAATCATGGCCTTCCTGTCCTCCGGCGACGGCGACAAGCCGACAGACGCCTCGTCGTCGCGAATGGACTTAGGCTCCTGAGGGAAACAAAAATCTTGGTGGGATGGAAACGACCATAGCATCAAGCCATCAACCATCGCCCTCTCCTCGTTGCCTCTCGCCCATAGGCTGAATCTTCGTTGTGCGGAAGGTGTGCTGGCCTGCTTGCTTGTAGCGGAAAGGTCGTCGCCGCTGCTAAACAACTCGAGCACGTCGACGCTCTTGCTCGTCAACTCACCAATCACGCTCGATCGGTGGTGCAACCTTTACACACACATGCAGTCACAGAGCTCTTGCACCAATCACAATTCGATCTTACACCAATCACAGATCGATAAACTCGTGACAAGAAGAGAGCTAGGAAGATAGAGTTTCGTTCGAAAGCGTTACAGAGAACTTTTCGGGATAGCCAAGAATTAGACTTGCCTACAGCTCCTCCAACAGCCAATAATACATCAGCTAGCTCCTACTTTCTTGTTACTCGCTGCACCATCCTCTGATTCTGCAGCGGCAGCCTCCAGCTCCATTCAAGCTGACACACTCGGCGGCAGGGATGATCTTGGCGCCTATCCAACGACGCTGGAGCTGCCACAACCGATGCCATTGATTCGGATGGATGGAGTCTTCAGAGACAGGCAGACAGCATGGTAGAGACCAGGAGGAGGTGACCTCTTTCTTGATCTCTTCAAGTTTGTCCTCTCCCAGAAGTCAGAGGTGATGGCGGCATCCACTTCTCATCATTGGTTCAGAGGCAAAAACCAGAGGAGGGAGTGGGAGCAAGTGAAGGTTACACATCACTAGCTCAATTTAAGGGCCGGCGACACATCACATCATCTATTGTACCTGAATCAGGTATTCAGGTATTGAGCACATAATCCCCTAAAAAAAAGGTATTGAGCACATAAACAACATGCGTGCAATAATCTTGTTTAGCACCAAACTTCGCCACTAGCTCATGCTTTCGGAGTTGCCAAAGCAACTGCTCTTCAACTCAACCCTATACTTGATGAAGTTTATTTCGTCTGTCAATAATAACCAAGTTGATGAAGTTTATTTGCAAATGATGAAGAAAAAAACATGTTATAGGAGAAAGACAATAATAAGGGCATGTTTGGTCCCAGGGACCAGAGAATAGAGACTAAAAGGGACTAAATAACATGTTTGGTTTCAGAGACTAAAAGGACTAAAAGGCTGAACAAAGACCAAAACACCCCTGACTTTAGCTTCTCTGCTGCCTCTTCACCGCAGCCATCGGAGAGGGGAGGGGAGGCCCGCCACCACCGGGCAGCCATCGGAGGGGGAGGGGAGCCTGTCGCCGCAACCATCGGAGAGGGGAGGGGAGGGCCGCCACTGCCGGGCGAGCCTGAGGCGGGCTCGGCCGTCGGGGCGGCGCCATCGAGCCTGAGGCGGGCGCGTCCGTCGGGGCGGGGCGCGGGAGAGAGAGAGAGAGAGGAGGGGTATGGGCTGTAAAGTTGGTCTATTAATCTCAATAAACCTCTCCCAAGGGACTAGTGGACTATAGACTAAAAGTCTATGTAGTCCCTCCTGTTTGGTTCAAATAGACTAAAAGGACTAAAAAGTAGTCCCTCCCATGGAACCAAATAGGGCCTAACCAAATAACTTTGGGACTAAATCCTTGGGACAGATTGTTCAAACCAAAATTGCATACAGGACTATATAGAATTCCGTACATGACTTTAAAAAAGAAAGCTTGTATTCCTCTCTCTCTCTCTCCTATCTCTTCTTGCACAGCGGCACCTCTTCTCGCGGGAGACTTGGGTAAACTAGTGTGAAACCACTAGTTTTTCGAGCATCGGCGACCCTCACGGCCTCCATGGCCGGCCGGCAGCCTACCGTGGCTAACTTCGGCTGGATGCTGTTTGCTGCCTGCCCGGACGCCTCGCTCGGTGGCCGCATGCTTCTGGCCCGTTGTTGGATAAGTTTCGGTCACCTCTCAGCCTCCACGGCCGGCCGGCAGCCTACCGTGGCCACAGCATTGGCATAGTATTTGGGACTCAAGAATGAAAATACGGATGCACCTTTGCATTCAGTACCCTTTCATGATGGAGGTTTGGATGCATCTCAGGAGATTCGACTGCCTCAGCCCCGGTGCAACAATAGAAGACTGGTGATCGTCTTCTTTGCAAGGCCATAACACAAGACAAAAAGTAAACAATTGTAGCGCTGCTCATATATACCGTATACAGCTTGGAACATCCGGAAAGAAGAGAAACAGAAGAATCTTCTAAGGCAAACTAAACTCGTCGATGCAGGTTTTCAATATGGCAAAAGAAGAAATGGCTCTCATGAGAGTTGCTTGTGGGGGCAGCCTTGCATCTGCAAATTAGTTTCAAAAAGAAATGAAAAAACGGTTATATTAGCATCAGGTCGACACAACTCTTAGGAAGATTCTAGACAAAGGATGGCCTTTATTTGGTTCTACTTGCATGACGGCACCGCAGAATCATGGTTTAAAGGGACTTGTTACTTTTGGCATGGTTTTTAGGGCATTTGGCACGGTCTTTTCGCATGAAACCTCATCATATTGTAGCATGGTTTTTCACATGATGTAAATTTAATAAACATGGTGGGCATAGTGGCCTAATGCTGAGCATTAGTCACTGAAAAAGGATTTCATAGCCTTTGGGAAGGCATAAGCGTTCACAAAAAGAATGGCTGAAATGGCAAGGGATCCCGTACTCGCAGAGAGAACCTAGAATCTTGGGTTGAATTTATCAGCAACAAAAACAGAGAACTCGATACCCTTCTGCCCTTCAGCATATGTAGGTTATCATTTCATTCCCACTTCATATCAGAAATAATAAAGCCAAAAAAGTTTGTAATTCTGTAAAGATACCAGGTGCGACGAAAGCTGCTGGGTTACTGCATCAGGCAAGAACAAACTGAACAATCCCGGCTGCTAATCACATAGCTTAGCCAAAGTAGGGTCAGTTGCTGATTTCCTTCGGATTCTATGTGGGTCATCTCTGTCTCTCTGAACAATGTGGTGCCAGCTGAAGGAAAACAATGCCATGTGTGAGTGTAACCTTTTCATCTTCAAGGAGCTGGCTTTTGTTTAGTGCACAAAACAACGAGGGCTAAAGCATGGCCACTTTGGATCACTGGGACAAGCAAGGATCGTCAAGGCAAAGTGCCCCGCGTTTTATGGGCTTGAAAGTTCAGACCGCTCCCTGCTCTCCTTTTGCCTTTGGCTGCACCAAGAGCCAGCTTCTTCTGAACCCTGGTTGGCTTCTTCTACTTCACAGAAACGAGAGTGGATGTTGACCGCGTTGGCTTGGTATATGCATGTCACATAGGATAGGAGTATTCTCCAAGCTCTTCTGTTGCATCAGAGATAGGTACTGTATAGAGACTGCACTCTGAAACCCCATACGAAACTGATAAAGGTTGCACTCTGAAATCCCATGGAAAAAACAATCCCCATGTAAATGAAAAGAAAATGATAAAGATTGCACTCTGAAGCCGCCCATATGTATCCTGAACCTGGTTCAGACAAGGGATCAGAGAAGAGAATGTGGGCAGCTTTATTTTCATCAGCTGGAAGTCGCCGTCATGAGCGATACATAAACCTAACTATCAAATCTAATTTTGCGATAACAAACAAGATGGTTACTACTTTTCAGGGACTGTAGTTCACCTCCTCTGTAAGAAGGGTGTGCAAGAGAAAAATATGATGGTTCCTTGCTAATCTGAATGGAGATCAAATTAACATTCCATGCACATCAGGGACTATCTCCTCCACAAGTATGCCATCGAATCAAGGAATGCAGGGTATGTGTACCTTTGCATGCATTTGTGATATTTTCAGCAACCCGAACATGAAGAAAAAAAAAAGCAAGAGACTGATACCAGGATCTGCTTGAAGTAAGGGGCCAGAGATGTTACGGAAACGGACGGTCGAAGAACATTTCCTCACTGTCCTCTCTGCCTAGAAAAGGAAAAAAATACAAACTTCACAACACGAAAAATAAAGAAAATCAGCACATGAAAGCTGAGAACCAAGCAATGGAAGACATGTCAGAGTGATTGGTCAACTAAGTTCTTTCATTATGTTTTCTATATTGTTATCTGAATAGAATATTCGAACATAAAAAGAAGTGGGAAAACGCCATCTGACCTAACGATGATACAGTTTATCTTAAGATCGACGAGCAATTAAGCAATTAACTGAACAGAATATTTGAACATAAAAAGCAGGATCCCAAATCCCTTTGTCCGATAATCAGATAAATAAATTAATGAAACTCTGTGAGCTCCAGTGAGTTGAATTGACATGCCTTAAAAGGTTTAGGTTTATGTCTTTCTTAAAAATATAGACCCCCATTGAAGCTATGTGAGGTTTCTTTTCTGCTTGGTCCTTTGATAAGCCTAGCACTGTGGTGTCAACTTGCTGCAGAGAATGAAAATAATAATAATGGCTCATAAAGTTCTGTTTACCTTAGTTTAATACCTGAGGCAACTAAAATTTGTGCACCCAATGTAAGTGTGGCAAAGGGTAGAGCGTATGAGAATCTTTATCAACATTTGAGTATGAAGGAAGGAGAGAAGAACATTTATAGGATGGCTAGGATTCGTGAGAGAAAGACAAGGGACTTCAACCAAGTTAAGTGCATTAAGGATGAAAGGGAGCATCTCTCGGTGAAGGAGGATGAGATCCGACATCGATGGCAAGAGTATTTTGACAAATTATTCAATGGTGAGAATACGGACACAACCTTTCAGTTGGATGACTCTTTTGATGACATCAATAGGCGCTTTGTGCGGAGAATCCAAGAATATGAAGTTAGAGAGGCGTTGAAAATGATGAAAGGAGGTAAGGCGATGGGACCGGATGTTATCTCAATCGAGGTGTGGAGATGCCTCGGATACATAGCTATAGTATGGCTAACCAAGCTGTTCAACCATATTTTTCGATCGAACAAGATGCCTGACGAGTGTAGGAGAAGTATATTGGTACCGATCTACAAGAATAAAGAAGATATTCAAAGTTGTACTAACTACCAGAGAATTAAGTTGATGAGTCATACTATGAAGCTATGGGAGAGAGTTATTGAGCATCGCTTGAGAACAATAACGCGGGTCTCTATGAACCAATTTGGTTTCATGTCCGGAAGGTCAGCCATGGAAGCCATTTTCTTAATAAAATAAGTTATGGAGCGGTATAGGGAGAAGAAGAAGGACCTACACATAGTTTTTATAGACTTGGAGAAGGCTTATAATAAAATATCAAGAAATATTATGTGGTGGGCTTTGAACAAACATAAAGTCCCAACGAAATACGTCGGGCTCATTAAGGACATGTACAACAATGTTTGTGACTAGTGTTCGAACAAGTGATGGAGACACGGATGACTTCCTGATTAGGATAGGACTACATCAAGGGTCAGCTTTGAGCCCTTATCTGTTTGCCTTAGTGATGGATGAGGTCACAAGAGACATACAAGGGGACATCTCTTGGTGTATGCTTTTCGCGGACGATGTAGCGCTAGTGGATGAAAGCCGGACATGAGTGAATCAGAAACTGGAGTTATGGCGGGAGACTTTGGAGTCCAAAGGTTTTAGACTCAGTAGAACTAAAACTGAGTATATGAGATGTGACTTCGGCACTATTACTCGGGAGAAGGAAGATA